TGAATTCATCTTCTTCAAGTATCCATTTTCTATCTTGGTATCAGAGCCTCTACCCATGGCTAATGTTTTACCTCCTACCTCGGATTCAAGCTCCACAAACCCAGAAACTACCAATCTCAGTTCATCAAATCAACCCTCAGTTCCTGGGAACAATCTTACCCCCTTTGGAATGAACTTGACCCAAGCAGCCTCTGTCAAGCTTGATAGAGATAGTTTTCTGCTTTGGAAAAACGTCATAATGCCAATTGTGAGGGGCCATGGGTTAGAAGGGTATTTATTGGGCACCAATGAGTGTCCCCCTCAAACTATTGACATCCAGATCACAATTGAAAGTGGAGTCACAGTCAGGTCACTGCCTAATTCCGAGTATTCTAGGTGGATGTCTATTGACCAACTACTAATGGGGTGGTTATACTCCTCAATGACATCTGAAATCGTGATGCGTGTGATGGGATGCAACAGCTCAAGTGAGCTTTGGAGAGCCATAAATGAGAATTATGGAATTCTCAATAGGTCTAAAGTGACCTTCCTCACATCTGAATTACAAAGAATGAGAAAGGGGTCCATGTCTATGGATTATTACCTCAGCATTGTCAAACAGCTTGCTGATAACCTTGAAATAGCAGGGAAGAAGATAAAACATATTGACCTTGTAACTCAAGTCTTGGCTGGGCTTGATGAGGAATACACTCCAATCGTAGTGCAAATTAACAGCAAAGATCAAATTTCCTGGCATGAGTTGTCGTCTACACTCATGATGTTTGAAAGCAGATTAGAGTATCTCAATCAAGTTAGAAATAACTTTGGCTCAATCAATCTTGCTCAAGGCAATTCCCGCAGTACCAATTCCTACAATGGAAGAGGAAATAGAGGTACTAGAGGTTCAAACCTGAGAGGAAGAATCAGAGGCAGGGGAAGATTTGGAAGATCAAATGAAACAAGGAATCCCTGTCAGATATGTGGCATGAATAACCACACTGCTGCGTGGTGTTACAACAGATTTGACGAAAAATTTATGGGAAAGGCCTGGTGATCTGATCCCCAACTCTCGTCCATCTGCCTACATCGCAAATCCAAGCTCAGTGGAAGACCAAGCCTGGTATGCTGACTCTAGAGCTAGTCACCATGTAACCACTGACAAGGAAAATGTTGCTGAAGCAAGAGAATATGGAGGTAAGGAGAAAATGATTGTTGGTAATGGAACTTCTTTGCAAATTTCTCATATTGGCTCAAAGACCTTTGATGTTGAAACTGGGAAGACTCTTATTTTAAAAAAACTACTGCATGTTCCTAAAATAAGAAAGAATCTTGTTAGTGTCTCTAAGCTCACCTCTGATAATAATGTCTCTGTTGAATTCTATCCTAACAATTGTGTTGTGAAGGACCTATCAACAAGGAAGGCTCTAGTGCAGGGGAAGCTTGAAGGTGGATTGTATCAGCTGAATCTACCCAGTCATTACACAAGTACTCACAAATCAAGTTCTATCAGCCATCACCGAAACAAACCTCAGTTCACTCTTTGCACCAGTTTGTCTGAACCAGCAAATTCTACTAGAAATAGTGTCTTAGAAGTACAGGCTGAAATCTGGCACAGGAGATTAGGCCATCCTCCTACTCCTGTACTACTCCAGTTTTTGAAATCCTATAATAAACTCAAATCTATCAGCAATAAAAAAATTCCATTTTTTGAAGCATGTCAGTCTAGTAAGTCACATGCATTACCTTTTAAATTATCTTCATCTCATGCCAATATGCCACTCGATTTAATACATACTGATGTCTGGGGACCAGCCCCTGTTAATTCCACTTCAGGATTTAAATATTATGTTCTCTTTGTAGATGATTGTACTAGGTATACTTGGATTTACCCCTTAAAACATAAATATGAAGTAATTCACTACTTTACACAGTTCAAAAGCCTTGTTGAAAATCAGTTTGAAAGGAAGATCAAAACTATTCAATCAGATATGGGAGGAGAGTACAAGAGTCTTGATAAACTAGCTCTAGAATCAGGAATTCAATTGAGATACTCTTGCCCTCATACATCCGCTCAAAATGGAAGGGCCGAGAGAAAACATAGACACATCACTGAGACTGGTCTGACCCTGTTATCTCAAGCCTGTATGCCTCTTTACTATTGGTGGGAGGCCTTTCTAACTGCAACATTTCTCATAAACAGAATGCCTAGTTCAACTCTTCAACATAAGTCACCATATGAACTTCTATTTAGGCATAACACTGACCATCAGTTACTAAAAGTGTTTGGATGTTCATGCTACCCGTGCCTTAGACCATATTAGAGGCACAAGTTTGATTTTCACTCTCAGAAATGTGTTTATCTAGGACCTAGTATATCACACAAAAGGTTCAAATGTTTAAGTCCTAGTGGAAAAATCTATGTTTCAAGACATGTAATCTTCGATGAAAACTCATTTCCTTTCAAAAAGGGCTTTCTCAAGAAAAAATCCTTAGACAGATATTCTCCTACTAAGTTTCACTATTCCATCTGAGTTAAATCCTCACAGAAGAGTCTCAGAATTAGCTGATACAATGCACCTTCCAGAAGAACCTACACAAAAGCACCTTGCTGAAAATGATGATGAAAGAATGACTGAAAATGGTGAAGAGCCTGGTAACCAACAGATACAGGAAACAGAACAAAATGAGGTACTAGTTGATTCCTAGGCTGAGTCTTCAGAACATGATGGTGAAACTAGAGAAAAGGAATTGATGACAGAACATCCTATGGTAACCAGATCCAAAGCAGGAATTCTCAAACCAAAGTGTTTTGCTGACGTTATTACAAGTTCAATTGATTATATTGAACCTGTCAGTATTCACGAAGCTTTGAAAAGTGGTAAATGGTGCCAAGCTATGAAGGAAGAATATGAGGCCTTGATCAGAAATAATACATGGGATTTCGTCCCTGCAGATCATAAGATGAAAATAATAGGCTGTAAATGGGTGTACAAGCTGAAGCGTGATGCAGATGGGAAAATTCAGAGGCATAAAGCCAGGTTAGTGGCGAAAGGATTCTTACAAACACCAGGCATCGATTATTACGAGACATTCAGCCCAGTAGCCAAGGCACCAACTCTGAAGATTATTCTTACAATTGCTGTCTCAAAAGGATGGGAAATAAGGCAAGTCGATATTAATAATGCCTTCCTTAATGGGAAACTAGAAGAAATAGGTTTTATGGAACAACCTCAAGGCTTTACTGATCGAGATAACCCATCCTATGTTTGCAAACTCAGCAAGGTACTATATGGACTTAAGCAGGCTCCCAGAGCCTGGCATGATACACTAAAGGAAACACTGCTGAACTGGGAACTTTTGCAATCAAAGGCTGATAACTCTGTCTTCTATCAGGTAACTTAGGAATTTATGATTTATCTACTAATCTATGTTGATGATATCATAATTACTAGAAGCTGCAATGTAAGGGTACAGAAGTTAATTGAAAAATTGAACACCACTTTTGCATTGAAAGACATGGGGATTCTGAGCAAATTTCTGGGCATCGAGTTTTACAGAGATGAGATGGGTTTAAATTTTTCACAAAGAAACTATGCCATTGATACCTTGAGGAAGTTTGGTTTTGAGAATCTAAAACCTAGTGTTACACCAATGGCAGCTAGGAAACTAGTTGCCAAAACTGAAGGAAAAAGCCTAGAAAACCCAACCCCTTTCAGAAGTGATGTGGGAGCTCTTCAGTATCTAACACATACTAGGTCAGATATCACCTTTGCTATGAATAGGATAAGCCAGTATCTTCAAAACCCTACTGATGCACACTGGAACTTGTTGAAACGATTGTTCAGGTACATCAAAGGAACACTTGAGATTGGTCTGAGAATCCAGGAAACAGAAGATCTTAATATTATTGCTTATCCACTACGCCTGACCCGTAGTACGGCAGATGACAGGAAATCCACTGTGGGATATTGTGTGTATCTTGGAGGGAATTTAATCTCATGGTGTTCGAAAAAACAGCAGGTTGTGGCAAGGTCTAGTACTGAGGCTGAATACAGGACGTTAGCTCACACCACTGCAAAAATTGTTTGGACTCAATCGTTGCTGCAAGAGCTCAGCATTACCCAAATAGAGCTCCCCAGAATCTGGTGTGATAACCTAGGGGCAAGTGCTCTTACTTCCAATCCTGTCTATCACGCACAAACCAAACATATAGAACTTGATGTGCATTTCGTTCGCGATAGGGTATTGGCCAAACAACTTGTAATCAACTATGTTCCAACCGCCGATCAAGTTGCAGATATCTTAACCAAACCACTATTAAATTCTAGGCACCTATATCTACGAAGCAAGTTGGCGCTGTTGAAACTATCTCCAGCTTGACGGGGGCTGTTAGAAAAGATGAAATTATGGACCAAAATGTACAAAACAGAAAGACGAGGACTAAAGAAGTGGTGATGCGGACTGGGCATCATGCCTAGATGATAGGAAATCCACTGTGGGATAATGTGTGTATCTTGGAGGGAATTTAATCTCATGGTGTTCGAAAAAACAGCAGGTTGTGGCAAGGTCTAGTACTGAGGCTGAATACAGGACGTTAGCTCACACCACTGCAGAAATTGTTTGGACTCAATCGTTGCTGCAAGAGCTCAGCATTACCCAAACAGAGCTCCCCAGAATCTGGTGTGATAACCTAGGGGCAAGTGCTCTTGCTTCCAATCCTGTCTATCACGCACAAACCAAACATATAGAACTTGATGTGCATTTCGTTCACGATAGGGTATTAGCCAAACAACTTGTAATCAACTATGTTCCAACCGCCGATCAAGTTGCAGATATCTTAACCAAACGACTATTAAATTCTAGGCACCTATATCTACGGAGCAAGCTTGGCGCTGTTGAAACTATCTCCAGCTTGACGGGGGCTGTTAGAAAAGATGAAATTATGGACCAAAATGTACAGAACAGAAAGACGAGGACTAAAGAAGAAAATAGCCAAGAAATAGAAAAAAACGTTATATACAAAATAGCGACTCTACCTTAATAGAAAATGGAGGGAGAAGAAAGCTACAGTATCATCACTCCAAACGGATTCACCACAGCTGCTCCACCATCCTTTATTCCAGGGATTTGATATCTCCATTGTACAATTAGTTAGGGTATTTTGTTGGGTGTTGTTTGCATTAATCCGTGTGTATAAATAGTAGTATTTGGAACCTCTGTAATTTAATCAATTTTGTAAGCTTATTTAATTGAATTCATCTTCTTCAAGTATCCGTTTTTATCTAAGAGGAGGTGTGTTCTTGGGACCTATGGAGTGGAACTGGTGAAGCCTTTTCGCCAAAAGGGAAATGGAATGTCGTCGTGCAGGATGTGCCTAATCCTCTTGAGGCCCCTAAGGTACTTATTATAAATATTTGTGCGTGTGCAAGTGTCTATGCATGCATTTGAGTTAGTGTGTGCCGTGCTCGTGCTCGTGCATGCACATCTTTCCACTTGATTTGACAACATATTCAAGAAAAATTAGTTAGACTGCGTGAAGTTTAATCGAAGCGTTCACTTATTTTCTCCACTACAAACTTGCAGTAATGTCAATGGGGGTGATGCCTCCCTACTTTAGGTGGTTTGGGGACATGAGCTTCCGAGAATAAAATTTTATTCAAGGGTATATTGGGTACATATAAACATGTCGTGCACCCTCAGAGAAAGCAGAAAGAATCTAAGACTAGAAGGAGAACCACCTTGTGCTCTTACTGTAAGAAAAGGATTTTAGGGTGAAACCATTTTTTATCACAAGAGACACATCCTCTAAACACTTTTTTTCCTTAAGAAATCCGTACAAGTGGATGTAACTCTTGCACTGAGGGTGAATCATAGTAAATCAGTGTGCTTCGTGTATTCTAATATCATTTTGCTTATTATTGTTCTCGTAATTGATAATAGGGATTAGTCCTTAAGGAATTCTAATATTTTTTTTCTTGAATTTCTATATTCTACGAATTCCCATTGAAAACTTTGATAATGGTAGGTTTATCAAGTTGATTTTGTGATTTTGTGCATTGGAAAATTCAGTGATCTGCCGAACATCCCACATTTTCCACAAGGAGACGGGCCAGAGGTGTTTAGTGGCAAGGTCATACACTCCATGGATTATGCTGCAATGAACAAAATTCAGGCAGTTGAATTCATCAAAGACAAGAGAGTCACAGTTGTTGGTTCCCAAAAATCAGCACTGGATATTGCAGCACAAGTTTCTAAAACAAATGGTAGTGTATCACCTAAAACTATTCGTGTTCGACCAAACGAAATTTATGACACATTCGTGCCTACGCTAAGGCGCTGCGGGGATATACTCCCGTGTCATCAGAAAAATACATTAAGGGTATGATTGTTGCGCCAGACTCGACAGTACTGAATAGAATAGGATTACAGAAGAAAAAAGTTAAAATTTTGTACGTTGTCCAATGTATTGCTTGGAGCATTCTGTACACAACATGTCCTCGAGACACTAATCTGATTATTTGCATTTTCCAGGAGTAAGGCATCCGTGCACATTACTTTTCAGGAGAGTGCATTGGTCAGGTTCTAAGAACTTGGTTCGACTTACCTTCCGAAATCCGAATCGTTTCTCAGAGCTTATGATCCATAAGCCACAAAAAGGGCTCATTCTCTGGTGGTTGGTTTTTTTGCTTTCACCTTTGGTAATTTCTTTCCCCTGCCTAATGTTATTGCTTTCTTATAATAACCTTGCATCATTTTACAAACTAGTCAATTAAAAATTGAACAATTTTCATTCATTTGCAAACCGAAAATCCCAATTTTGTGACAGCAAACTTTGATTGTGCAATTGGCATAGAATATTAGAATCTTTCCGTTTATTGACTTAATATATGGTTTCAGCGTTGGATATTCACAAAGTTGGTCGAGTGCTATCTTAAATGGATCTATCCATTGAAGAAGTACAACATGATCCCGGACTATACATTCCTAAAAGAAATATACTCGTGCATGTTTACAATCTTGCCAGATCGCTTCTACGAAAGAGTTGAAGATGGCAGTCTAATCTTAAAGAGATCACAAAAACTCTGCTTCTGTACAACCGGTGTTATTATAGATGACGAGGTAGCCCCTCTAGAGACTGATATTGTCATTTTTGCAACCGGATACAAGAGTGATGAAAAGATCTCAAATATTTTTGCCTTGAATTACTTCAAGAAATGCATAACTAGATCCTCAACTCCTTTCTACAGGTACTCTTTTAAAGATATGAATAATGTTATCTAACATCAGTGGTGCTATAGCACCAGTTTATATGGCATTATGTGATAGGTTTAATTAAAGGTAAAATTGTGTGATTCATTTAATTGAATATGTTATTTAATGTCACTAATTGTAAGAAAAGAAAGGAGAACTTTTGTGCTCTTATTTCAATAAATAATCATCAAATCACGATGCTCTACTGTAGGTAACCTATATATATATACACGATTCTAACCATGTAACAAAAGGGAAAAAAGCATTTACATGTGCACAACAGCACAACAGAAAATACAGTTCAGCCAAAACAAAAGAAGCTTCTAGTATCTCTAGCCAGGTAGGAGCTGATGATGTGTAGTGGATGTATCTTGTATGGAGCCACTTGTAACAGCATTGGTGAGCTGGCTTTCCCCCTCTGGCAAGATGGAGAGTAGAGATTAACTACTCCCATCTTGAGCAAATGAGAATTAAGAAGGTTAGAAGGTAAAGCCTTTGTGAGAAGGTCTGCAAGCTGAAGGTGAGTAGGGACATGGGAAGTGGAAACGAAGCCATCAAGGATCTTATCTCGAATTAGATGACAATCTAACTCGATATGTTTTGTGCGTTCATGGAACACAGGGTTAGCTGCTATATGGAGAGCTGCTTGGTTATCGCAGAAAAGTTGGGCAGCCTGTGGGTGTGGTATATTAAGGTCTGTAAGGAGAAAACGAAGCCAAGTGAGTTCGGAGCATGTTGCTGCCATAGCTCTGTACTCAGCCTCGGCGGAGGAACGAGAAACCACTGATTGTTTCTTTGATTTCCAAGAGATAAGGGAGGTCCCTAACAAGATACAATAGCCAGATATTGAATGCCTAGTGTCTGGGCAAGAGGCCCAATCTAAATCACAATAAGCTAGGAGTTGAAGTGGAGAGTTAGCAGAAAAGAAAATGCCTTGTCCAGGAGCGGCTTTGATGTATCGCAGGATTTTATAGGCTGCAGCTAAATGATCAGAAGTGGGGCTGGACATGAATTGACTGAGGGTAATAACAACATAGCAAATGTTTGGCTTTCATCAGTAATTGTGAGCTATGATACCCCCCTGGCAAGATGGAGAGTAGAGATTAACTACTCCCATCTTGAGCAAATGAGAATTAAGGAGGTTAGAAGGTAAAGCCTTTGTGAGAAGGCCTGCAAGCTGAAGGTGAGTAGGGACATGGGAAGTGGAAAAGAAGCCATCAAGGATCTTGTCTCGAATTAGATAACAATCTAACTCGATATGTTTTGTGCGTTCATGGAACACAGGGTTAGCTGCTATATGGAGAGCTGCTTGGTTATCGCAGAAAAGTTGGGCAGCCTGTGGGTGTGGTATATTAAGGTCTATAAGGAGAAAACGAAGCCAAGTGAGTTCGGAGCATGTTGCTGCCATAGCTCTGTACTCAGCCTCGGCGGAGGAACGAGAAACTACTGATTGTTTCTTTGATTTCCAAGAGATAAGGGAGGTCCCTAACAAGACACAATAGCCAGATATTGAATGCCTAGTGTCTGGGCAAGAGGCCCAATCTGAATCACAATAAGTCAGGAGTTGAAGTGGAGAGTTAGCAGAAAAGAAAATGCCTTGTCCAGGAGCGGCTTTGATGTATCGCAGGATTTTATAGGCTGCAGTTAAATGATCAAAAGTGGGGCTGGACATGAATTGACTTAGGGTAATAACAACATAGCAAATGTCAGGTCGAGTTATAGTAAGATATAGCAGCCTCCCAATTAGCCGGCGATAAAGAGAAGCATCAGGTAAAATGGTGCCATTTTCTTTACTGAGCTTCAAATTTTGGTCCATCGGAACACGAACGGGTTTGGAGCCTAAAGTCCCTGAATCAGCAAGTATGTCAAGGGTGTACTTGCGTTGACAAATGTAGATTCCACGAGGAGAACGAGCTACTTCAATACCAAGGAAGAAACGAAGAGGCCCCAGGTCTTTGATCTTGAATTGATCATTCAAGAAAGTGTTCACATCAGCAATGGTATCCTGGGAATTACTAGCTACAAAGATGTCATCAACATAGACTAGAAGTGTTGTGAAGGAACTGTCAGAGGATTTGATGAAAAGATTGTAATCCGATTTGGATTGAGAGAAACCAAAAGCCAGTAAGCATGAGGTAAGCTTGTCGTACCATTGTCTAGATGCCTATTTCAAACCATAGAGGCTTTTCAAGAGCTTACAAACCTGATCAGGCCTGCCTTGGGTATATCCAGGTGGTTTCTTCATGTAAATGTCTTCCTTCAAATCACCATGGAGGAAGGCATTATTGACATCGAACTGGTGCAAATGCCAACCTCGAACTGTTGCAATGGAAAGAAGGCACCTGACAATAACCATTTTTGCCACTGGGGAGAAGGTTTCGGTGTAATCAATACCTTCTTGTTGGGTATAACCTTTGGCCACTAATCGGGCTTTTAAGCGTTCCACACTGCCATCTGAATTTCTTTTCACCTTATAAACATATTTGCAGTCAATGGGTACCGTTCCAGGAGGTAGATCAGTGAGGGCCCAAATATTGTTTTGTTCTAAGGCATGTAATTCAGCTTCCATGGCATTGCACCAGTTAGGATCTTTCACTGCTTGAGCATAGGTGGTAGGTTCAACAATGATTAAAATGGAAGAAGAGAAAGCCTTGAATGAAGGAGAGAAAAGATCATATGATAAATAATCATGTAAAGGGAATGAGCAAGTGGAATGATTAGAAGATACCTGAACCTGTGAGTGAGATGGGGGAGTCACGGTAGCCTGTTGACATTGGAAATCCCTAAGTAACTAGGAGCAGCCCTTGTTCTTGCTCTGATACTATGATAGGAATATTGGACCTAACTTCACCTAATAAAACCGGCTTATTAGGGGAGGATTGCCCTCACCTTATTAAGTGGATCATTTATATTTTCCCAAACAATGTGGGATTCTAATACGCCCCCTCACGCACAGCGTGGACCATGCCAAACAATTNATTGGGCCTAACTCTGATACCATGTAAGAAAAGAAAGGAGAACTTCTGTGCTCTTATTTCAATGAATAATCATCAATTGAAATTACGATGCTCTACTGTAGGTAACCTATATATATATATACAAGATTCTAACCGTGTAACAAAAGGGAAAAAAGCATTTACATGTGCACAACAGCACAACAGAAAATACAGCTCAGCTAAAACAAAAGAAGCTTCTAGTATCTCTAGCCAGGTAGGAGCTGATGATGTGTAGTGGATGTATCTTGTATGGAGCCACTTGTAACAGCATTGGTGAGTTGGCTTTCATCAGTAATTGTGAGTTGTGATACTAATGCTACTATCTAGACTGATGTTAAACACTAGTAGTGTTATATAGCATTACTCTAAAGATATGAATATAGAAATATATTCATCATAATATTCTCATTTTCCAAACTTCGTTTCCTCTTGAAAAGAGTTTTTCTTTCGGATTTCAAGCATGTCTGGTTTTGAGTAAAACCCTTACTTACAAAGTAAGTTTGCTTAAGAAAATAATTACTTATCCGAACATGATTAGAAACAAAAAGTTACTTAAACGTGACTTCGACTTATTTTTAAGCTTAATGAAGCATGTTATAGATCAAAAAAAAAAAGTTTCCATCCATTTGTTCATATCTCAATTGTATTCAGTTCATAATGCTTAAACATACCCGAAATCACAGTAGTGTTCATTCTAAATTCGAACTAATAGCCATCTGCATAACCTAATCACGATTTGCAAAACTTGCAGGGAATGCATCCATCCAAGAATTCCACATCTGGCTATAATTGGATATTCAGAGAGTCCTGCTACATCGTTTACAACCGAACTAAGAAGCAAATGGCTTGCACATTTTCTTGCAGGAAAATTTAAATTACCAGTCATAAAAGAAATGGAAGAGGATGCCAAAAGATGGAAAAAATGTACGAAGAAATATAGTGGTGAAAACTACAAAGGAGCTTGCGTTAGTGTCATGCTGCAAATAGACTGCAATGATCAGCTGTGTAGAGATATGGGCTGTAACCATAAGAGGAAGAAATGGTTTTTGTCTGAGATTTTTTCTCCTTACCAGCCTGCAGATTACGCAAATGTATAAGAAAAGGAGAAATGTTGTTAGGGGCCGGTCAGGGGGTCCCCCCCACCCACCCACCCACCGGAACAATTAGCATTTCATTAAGAAAAGTGTCATGTTTCGGGCATTTGACTACGGGATTGGACATGATTAAGCAACATAAACGTGTAAGATGCTTGTTCAGTTCAGGGTACTGAACATGTTTTAAGTCCATTTTAAGCATAAATCTCCTTTCTTTTTGCACAGAAAAATCTAGGTCGAGCCGAGCATATAAATGCCATATCAACTGATCAATATATTTAGTTAATGGACGTATGAAATAGGGAGGCGTGGTGAGGCATGTCCATTGAAAGAAACGCTTAGAGTCCGTTTGATTGCAAGGGTGAAAAATGGGTGGAAAGAAAATGAATTCTAGAGAAAATAATTACCTAGAATTTGTTTTTTAGGGACTTTTTAATTAAATATGTTTGATTGGTATAATTTTTCACTCGAAAAATTTTAAAATTTTGGATCTTTTTGTATTCGTTTGACTTTGTTTTATATGAAAATTGTCCATTAAAGTGATAATTTTTTCCACAATTGGTTATAAAATTTGTTTCCATTGCCAAAAAGTAAAAAAAAATATATATATATATTTCTTAAAAAATCATTTTTTTAATCAAAATTTAGTGTTCGTTTGGCCTTCGTTTGCATCAAAATTGTCC